CTAGCTTTGCTTCTCTCCAGGTCAGTACAAACTATGAGTATGAATGACAATACATATCAGCAGTGTATGTGTGTACATGTGCAGAGCTCATGCATTTGTACATATTACGGTATAGTAGTATGTGTGAGAGTTTCAATGCAAGTCTTGTCCTGCTACAGGCTGTACTTTATGGACAGGCCAAGATTGCTTTTAGTTTAGAAGCTTTAAAGATTGTTGACTGTTTGTTTCCTTAAGATACTATGTAACATTTGCATGATATGTGCTTAGTTTTTCCAATATCACAAAACTTCCTGGAAAATAAAGTGTTAAAAATTAGTTGAATAACGATGCAGAATTACAAACTACACATTCATTTTACTTTTTGGAAATAAATTAAGATATAAAAACATCATGATTTTTATAATTGGGGCTTTTTTAAGATCTTTGTATATCAATATTGTCATAATTGGATCTCTTTTTTTGAGAGTCAATGTATTTTTTTTTATTGACAACCAATATAGACTCTCAGACAACCTGGAAATTTCCTTCAAATCAAGCCCTGCTCTTGATATATTTTCTTTGCTTTTTCTTTCTCCTTTTATTTTTTCCCCTGCAGATAATTTCTGTAAACAGTGCAGCTTATACAGTAAAGAACTTCTTCAAAGAGTTTTTTTGGTTTCACGATACAATTTTGACAATAGTGCCTTATATTTGAGGTTTTTTTAAAAGGAGATGAAACCTATGTATTTAGGTTGAAATGGAGTGGAACAGACCTAGATGATCCAGGTATCGAGGAATAGGTGTTGTTATAATCACTGATGTATTAGCTTGATTTCATTGACCTTTCAAGAATTTAAATAATGCCCCAAAGAATATAGACTAATAACATGCAAAAAAGTAGACAGATTCTCTTACCTTTAAAAAATTTTCTGGCTTTCTAACTATGCGACAAGTCATTACAAATTTATTCAAATCAATCGTTAATTTTCCCATGGGAAAGATGTTGCTACTCTGAGTGAAATTGACATTTAAGTGTTCAAGACATAATGTTATACAATACATCATTTGATAGATGAAATCCTTGACTTTCTATTGGTTGTAGGTAATATATAATGAAATGTAACGAATCAACGATTTCTGAGAGAGAGGATATGACAGATGAGTTTGGCAGGAGGGGTCTGATTTTCTATTCAATAGCTCTGTAACCAAACAAAGTTGAAGACTAAAAATTATGGTTTTTCGGAACAATGATGATTTTATTTATGCTTAATTTCATATATTTTTGAGGGATGGTGGATAAAATAGACATGCTAAGAGAAAATGTGTCACTGGGGTCACCCTAGTGGAAATTCAGGATATT